TGGCCTCTTTGATAAACCAAGGGGTAGCCTTCAGCCCTGTCTGCTTGCACCTTCTCATTGTCCCTGTCCTAGATACCTGTGGTACTGTGCTCCTGATCTTTCTCCTACTTTCAGGATGTCTCTTTTCAGTTGTTTTCTCCATAGGCTCATTTTCTCTGTCTACTCCTTTAACGTTGTCTGTGTCCTAGGTCCTCTTTTATCCTTTATCTACCCACCAATCCTTCCCAGACTTTTTTCTCCCATTTTTATGCTGGCAACTCCCAAATCATTACTTCCAGTCTAAACCTTCAAATTTATTTATTCAACTGCTTCCTGGATATAGCCTTTAGATGATGCACAGAAGCCTAAAACATGGCAAAGCCAAAATTCTCTTCCGGCTTTTCATGCTCAGCAGCACTTGCCCAAATCTGTTCTTCCTTCTGGGTTCTTGATCTCATTTGCTGGCATCACCATCTAACCAGTTGCCCAAACTAAAAACTTAGAAATCTTTATATATATTTAAAAAGATATATGTGTATATATAATATTTATTTACATAAATATACACATGTATATAGGAATTTTATTATAGGAAATTTCAGACATATATAAAAGTAGAAAGAACAGATGTTTTTAACATCTAACTTTATTATGAACATACAGCCAACGTTATTTCAGTAATGGTCCCCACTTCTTCCCCTTCCCAGATTCTTTTAACAGACTGCTCAGGTATCGTATCACTTCATCAGTACAAAGTACGTATCTCTGAAAGACAGGTCTTAGAAGTCTCTTTGACTGCTCTCCTCCTTCCTTATTGCTAACATCAGTTGGTGATAATTTATCTCGGAGGCTGCCTGCAGACTTCAAGATCAAGTCCAGGCTCCTTACCGTGGCACATATGCTGCCGGCACTACTGTTGCAGCCCTGGGCCTTCCTCTGCTCTTACCCCGTGCTCCAGCCGTACCACATGACTGTCCCATTCCCCGAGGGGGTCCATCGACTCTGCATGTGATGCCCTGCTGCCTGGATGTCTCTTTGGTCACTTTTTCTCCTAGCTAGCTTATGTGGTGGCAGAAGGCACCTCTATGATACTTGTATCATCTCTGTGGCAGTGCTTATGACACTGTACTCTACCTGCAGAGTGGACTGTCTTCCCTACTACACTGTGAGCTCTTTGAGAGCAGGAATCGGGTCTTATGTCTGAATCACCAAAGCTTAATACAGTGCCTGCCCTGGCTGGAGTGTCTCAGTGCATTGAGCACTGGCCTACGAACCAAAAGATTGCTGGTTCAATTCCCAGTCAGTGCACATGCCTGGGTTGGGGGCCAGGTCCCTGGCTGGGGGCATGTGAAAGGCAATCACACATTGATGTTTCTCTCCTGCTCTTTCTCCCTCCCTTCCCCTCTCTCTAAAAATAAATGAATAAAACCTTCAAACAAATACAGTGCCTGGGATGAGGTAGGTCTCATGTATTTGTAGAATGAATGAAGACATTTCAGGGAAACAAATGACAGGCTACATTGTAGGAGACAGGATAGAGGAAGACCTGGGGATTGAAAACGCCTGAGTTTCAAGTATGGGAGTCCAGGGAATGGTAATGGCACTAACAGAAATGAGAGAGACTTGAAAAGCAAGCTGCTTTTGAGAGGTGATAATGAAATCTAAATTTTTGTACATGTTAATATAATGTATTGGTGGAATACCCAACAGCACACAGTGATCGAGGAGCAGAAAGATGAAGGAAAGTATTCATGGCACAGTTGGAGGACAGTATGAAAAAGACAGAAGGGGCTTATGGAAAGGAAGTGACAGAACATTGTGGAATGTATTGGGACCCAGAAGAGCCCTGTGAGTGCTTGTCTGTGTCAGCATGTGTACACAGTGGCTTTTTCTTATTGGTCTGCATAGGGGCTGGGTGGTCATGTACATGAGAACATTAGAATTACCATATTTTATTACAATTGAATGAGGTAATATGTTAAATGAGTTATTACTTAGAACAGTGTTTGCCACATACAAAGCACTCAAGTCTTAGTTGATTATTATCTTACTATTATCGTTTGGCCTTTGGTAACTTTTACCCTCTGACCAGAAGATCCCAGGGCTTTATTTGCCCATCATCTTGTGGAAGCTATGAAAATCTCTATCCTTCTCCTTGGTAAGGGATCAGAATAAGAAATTTCCATCTAGGAATCATTTGGTGAGAGGTGGCAGCCAAAGTCCTAAAACCAAGTGCTCTGTCAAGGAAGAAAATGTCAAGAGAGAATAAAGAAGCATGCAGTGAGCCCAGAAGGCACTGATGGCTGGGAGCAGTGGGACAAGCAAACAAGAAAACGAGTACCTTGGGCAGAGTTGCTGGAAGAGGCTATGGAGCAAGCAGGTCACAGATGCTGGGGGAGGAGAGAAGTTGCTACAAAGGTCTTGTTAATAGGGTTGAAGCAACAAGGTCAGGAGGATGAACTCTGAACCAGCCCCTGGATCTGACCAGGAGAAGAGGTACCATGAGTAATGAAGTAAAGCTTCAGTGGTCAAGAGAGTATGTGATGAAAGCAAGCAATTGCTTAATTCATCTGAATTCATTTAATTCATTTGATAATTCATTTGAAAAAGTTACAGGTTGAAGGGAGACAGGAACTTTCCTTTATTTCCTCATGGGTGAGTCAAGGATGTCTGAAGTCAGAAGGAGGAATCAGTAGGGAGAGGGTAAGACTGGGCTGCAGAGGGAAAAGACATGAAGCAGTAAAGGAACAAGGATTCCCTGCCTAGGCAGAAGGGCAGCCACACACTCAGTTTGCAAAGAAGGGTGCAGGGTAAGTGCAAGTGGTGTCTGAGAATCTTCTGTAAATACACACAGACTCTCTTGTGTTTGAGACAGTCCTCTCGAACCCCACTCACCCTCCTCCTCTCTGGTGGAGAGTTTAGACCCAGAGTCAGATCTAAAGGAACCCAGGGCCCCCAAAGGCTTTCCCCCATTCCCTCCTGCTAATAGGAAGAAATAATAATCTGTCTTGCTCTAAAAGCTGCACTGCCCAATATGGAAGTCACTACCATATGTGGCTAATTAAATTTAAGTATAATAAAGCAAAATGTTAGTGCTTCGGTAACACTAGCCACATTTCAAGTGTTTAATAGCCCTGTATGACCAATGGCCACTGAACTCAGTAGCACTGGTAGGGAACATTTCCATCACTGTACAAAACTCTGCTGAACACCACTGCTCTCAAGTCTTACTGGTGTTTCACCTCCTCTTCTGTCTTATGCACATTTGGCTCCCCTCCACCTTACAAAAAGTTCACTTTCTAGCACTCAGACACTGAATCATCCCGGTCTTGGGAACAGACTACAGCTTGGCTACAGAGGAAGAGGTTTCGTGACTGTCTTCGGGACTGAGTTGCTCAATGCTGTATTAACTGGGCATACTTCCCTCAATCTCCAAGCACACGCACAAGCTTGTGCCTTCTGTTCTGTCTACTTAGGGTTAAGTGCGTCCCAACAGAGGGGAAGACACCTTCACTGGCCTCAGAAATTAGCAGGGTCCTGTTTGTGGTCCTCCAAACTGATGAGAGGCTCCATTGGCAAAACTTCCAGGGTCTCTGCCTCTCCTGGCTTCATCCTCTCTCTCCACTAGTCCACCTCAGTCTCTTCTGCCCAGGATGGTTTGTTCTTTCTTGTGCTTCCTAGCAACAAACAAGCAGTTGCCAGATGCCTCTATACCTAGGGAAGTTTGTCAGACATGCTGGGGCAACAGTGCTGGTTCATGAGAAGCAGAGAATGACCAAGCTGGAAAGTACCCTAACCCTCCTCTAAGTCAGCCCTTCATTTGATAGATGTGGTTCTGGGTTACTTTGTTACCTAAATGACAGAAAACAGTCACGGGGGGAGGTAAAAGTTAAAAGGTACACTATCTCCAAGACACACATGGGGGGTTGGACTGATCTGCATCCCTGAGACTATTTTTGAACTTCTCTGCCTTGGCTGATGCTTTGTGCCCTTTCCAAGGTAGCACTTGTGTTACAAAAATTTCAGTGGATTACACCCCTGAATTTCCCTCCAGTAGAGGCAACTGGGCAAGCACTGGACATGGTTAGGAAGAGATGATTCTTCCCAGTGACACCTCCACCCGAGGGAAGCTGCCTCTGACCCTCCTTTCCGAGCTCCCTTTTTGGGCCATTCCTCCTCTTGTAATTGCTCTGGTTTGACCATTTCCTATGAAGAACGGTAAAGTGAGGACACAGTTCTAGTTTGGGTACAAAACATATCATGCTTCAATTTTCACAAAAAATACCAAATAACTCTGTTAAATTTTCTGAAGAAAAAAGAAAGTCCCCCAAGGAGCAGGAGGTAGGGAAACCCTCACATGGGAACATCGGGAAACTGCAGACAGATGAAATGCTAGCCCCAATTCCCCAGTCCTGCTGTCTCCTTTCTGGGAAGGTGCCCAACCTCTGTGCTCAACACAAAACCGCATCTCTGACTTACAGACCTCAGACAACCCCAGTGACCCTGGGGCAGATGGAGGTGGGGTCAGATGGGTAACTACAGTCGATGGAGACATCACCCTTCTCCTCTGTCCCACCCCCAACAGACCGCATGTGACTCTCTCTGTACTAGACAAGGTTGAGAATCAAAGGAAGAAACTCTGACTCTCTCTTCACCCAAAGGCCACTGGGATGAAGAGAATTGTCTGGCAAGCTCTCAGCATGGAATTCAAAGGACTATCGTTCAACATCGTCTCCCCAAGTCCCTACCCACTGCCCACTGGTCTTTCTAGCCTCTCCAGTCAGTTGTTCAGCAGCTCCTTTCCACTACCAGTAACTTGGGAGAAAGGTCTTGTTTAGGCAGTCAGGGGGCCAGCCAACTCAGAAGCAGCAACATGTCCTAAAATGGTCACAGAAAACTCCACAGGTCTGGCTGAAGCTCAGCTCCTAAAGGAGTGGGGTAGAACCCGGGGAGGATGAGTTCTCCATCACCCCGCCCCAATCTCAAGCCCAAGATTAACTGCCTTTCTGCAGACTACTTACCATTCCACAGTACTTCCAGTGAGTGAGGGGACAGTGGGATAGCCTTGTTCTCTTTTAACACGGGGCTGACGTAGGAAGCTAAGTAAGGGACAGATGTCCAGATCTGTTAAAGGAAAGGGGGTATGGTGGGTAAACCAACAAGACTGAAATCTCTCTCATCAACTTGAACTTAAGGGCCCATTTCTCTTTATTTTTCCTCTCCTCATCACCTTCTTTCATTCTTGAGGCTCCTGCTGACATCATGGAGTGCTCCCTATGGCACCAAATCAAGGAGCCACAGGAAATGGCTGTGTACAGGGTAGAAGATGAGAACAGAGCACCCTGAGAGTTCCAAGGCATACTTAGGTCCCATTTACTCCCTACAAATGGTTTGGAAACTTCAATTAAAGTTAAAAACGGGTATCAGCTGGGATGAGGGTAGATGAATGAACAGACATTTATTAGCACTTATAACATGTAGGCAATGGTTTAGGCCTTTCGCCCCTCCCTTGGTCACTCCACACAGGCTCCCTGTCCTGACAACACCTGCTCACCTTGGCTGCATTAACAAGTCTCCAAGCATTGAGCAAGCCGAATCCATGCTGGTGGCTGTGGCTGAAGCCTGCCTCATTGGTGACCCAATCTGCGTGGCGATCCTCATACTGAGAGGACAGAGGTCCTGATTAGTCTCTTCGATTTCCAAAGTGACCTCAGCAACCTAACTCTGGCTTACCTGCTCACCCAGCCAGCTGAAGCCAATCCAGACTCTCCCACCAAGGCCCCTGGGAATGGATTCCCCAAGGACAAAAGGTCAAAGCCCCATGATGTCACCATCCCCGTGGCTTGCATCTAGAGAGGGAGACAGGAGTCACAGGCTCCAGAGAGGGAGCCCAGCCAGAGCTCTCCTTTGTAGGTAAAATGGCATCATCAGAATAGGTACAAATGAGTGTAGGTCTCTGGTCTTGACAGGGTGCCCACTTCTATTCTGCTCACATGCAACTCTGAGAGAGATTTGGCATCTAACCTCTGGAACATTTAGAACCTGAAGCCTCCTAATACCTGTAAGAACTCTGGGGTGGGCTGGGCCAGGTCACGTGTCTACCTGATAACATCTCACCTGGGTGGCTGTGAAGACAATGATGTGCTGGACATCACGCCACGTGAGGCAGGGCCGCACCTGCAGCATGAGGGCTATCATGCCAGCTGCCAGAGGGGCTGCAGCTGAGGTCCCTGTGTGGCCCTCAGTACAGCCTGTGCCCTTCTGCAGATCCCAGTCAGTGGTCACCTGGGAAGTGAAATGGAGGTGAGGGGATTGGGTTAGAGATTGCATTCACAGGGGCTGTGGAGGGTGGGGTACAGACTGGTCCTCAGAACAAGCATTTCAGGTAGGCCCTTCCTTTGTGAGAGCTCAGTCTTTGACCAGAGGGAGGCCCACCAGCAGGTCAAGACAAAGGAGAGCCTTAACCCTTCTAGGTCTCACAAGAGAATCCCTGGAGAGCTGAGAAAGAATACAGACTGAAGAGTTGCTCATGAAGGTCTGGTTGTGTGTGAAAGGAGGTGGAGGCATGGGAGAGGCCTACTGCAGAGGGCAACATCCTGATTCCTGCTGCTCTAACCACCCACCCCAGATTCTCCACCCCAAAGCCCAGTCCCAACCCTCCAGACCCCACAACCACACTAGACAGAGAGGAAGTGGTTGGGGAGCTTCTGGCCCCAGCTGGAGCTGGGATGACAACAGCTCAGCGATAAGGAGATGCAATGACATCAATGTAAACAAAGGGCATGTGTTCCTGGGGAGAGGGGCCTGTCCCCTTGCCCAGCCCATGGGCTTGGTATAGGGTCAGTGTCTACACTGCCTGCCTGCCATGGCCTTGGCAACTGACATGACAAGCTGCGTCACTGCTTTGCACCTGGTGCCTCTGTATGGCTTCCATGAGTCCCGGCTTCTCTACCTGCAGTTCTGAGTGGGAGGGGGCAGTGGGGGCGGGAAGAAGAATTGCCCAGCTTTCTCCCCCCAAGGGGGATAGATGACATCTGTCCCCCATCAAGTTCTTTTTATGCTGTAAATATCCCTGGAGCCACAAACGCTTTAACTGAGAAGGGCCCTGCCTAACTCTGCTCCACTCTGTGGCACTTGGGCTCTAGCACATGGTGCCAATGTTAAGACCAGAGGATTTTTTTCTTTTATTAAACTTTATATTTACGGTTGACGCTATTACAGATGTCCCCATGTTCCCTCCCTTTGCCCCCCCTCTTCTCAGCCTCTGCCCGCCCTTCCCTCTGGCCATCACCACACTGTTGTCCGAGTCCATGGGCCATTCACATATGTTCTTTGGCTAATGCCTTCCCCTTCTTTCATACAGTCCCTTCGTTCCCCCTCCCCTCTGACACTTGTCAGTCTGTCCCATGTATCCATGCCTGTTTCTATTTTGTTCTTCAGTTTATTTTGTTCATTAGATGCTATATATAATTGAAATAATATGGTTATTTGTCTTTCTCTGTCTGGCTTACTTCACAGACATTCTGTCTTTTTTACGGCCGAGTGGTATTTCACAGCTTTCTTTTTGTCCACTCACCTACTCATGAGCACTTGGGCTGCTTCCGGATCTTAGCTTTTGTAAATAACGTGCATATATTCTTTCCTATTAGTGTCTCTGGATTTTTAGTATCTATTTCTGGACATGGGATCGCTGGGTCAAAAGGTAGTTCCATTTTTTATTTTTCTAAGCTTCTTTTCTGGGTCTGGTAGCAGGGCCCTAACTCCTGTCCAGAGCTGCCATTTCCATACCCTGCTCACTGCCTCCCTCCCCACTGTGACAGTGGCTGCCAGGAGCAGCAGTTCCCACTCAGATGCCAGGAACTTCCAGAAGGAAACGAGAAAACTCTCCCAAGCTGTCACCTCAATGAGAGGGGGAGGCCTGGGCTGTGCCAGGGAGCAGACTGATTGTTTCCTGTTAAGGAAACAGTCTCACAGTGAGCATCTAGTGTGTAGCCGGGAGGCCTGGGAACTTGCTTGTGGAGGCAGGAGCCCCAGGCAGCCCCAAGGAAGTCCAGGGAAGTGCTGCTGACAGCTGGATGGTGGGCAGCATGTGCCTGCACACCCTGCCCTCAGGGAGACTGCTTTACTGAGCTGGTCACTGACCAGAGACTGGCAACAGAGACTGGCTTTCCAAGGCAAAGACATTCCAAAGATGGAAACTTGGCAGGATAAACTGTCTTTTCATTTCTGGATGGGTTACAGTTCTGATGGAAGGTGGGGGTGGGGAAAAGCAGTGGAATTGAGTTGGGAGGACAAAAACCAGACCCCTGGGGGCAAGGCTGACAATTACGCCTGGGGACTCCTGTTGGTTCCTGGGCCGGGCCAGATGAGCAGGTCCCCCGAGTGCTGCCAGGGAGAGAAGAGTACAGTTTGTTCTTGCTCTTACTCCTAGCCCAGTCTGGCCTGGGGAGGCTGGCGGGGGGTGGAGGTGCCCTTCTGTACCCAGACCCCTGCCTGCTAAGCAAAGCCTTTCTTGCTGTCTTACTTCAGTACACTCCCTTTTCTCCCCAGGGTGGAAGGGTGGTGGGCAGGGGTCAACTGGCCCAGAGCCTTGGAACACTGTGTTAACCAGAAGTCATTTACTGACAAAACAAAACTTCAGTTTTGGAAAGTGAATTTGGCCCAGCAGGACACAGAGCAGCCTACTTCCCAGTGGCCCCAGAGAGACCTCCTGATCCTGGCCACTGGAGAAATCTCACACACCTGGCCCCAGCCCAGTTCTTGCCTGAATCCCCCTCCCCAGTTTATTCTATTATGGAGGGCAGCAAGGATGGCAGGGAGCTCTGGGATGACAGCTGTGAGACCTGGCTTGAAGATGCTGGGATGGAGCAGAGCCAGCCAAGTGCAGGCACTAGACCCTGAATTCTTGTAAAGCTTCCCATAGCCTGAGGAGCTCCACTCCCTTGCTATACCCAATCTCTTGTTTGCTGTGGCCTCAATTCTAGCACCAAAGAAAGAGTTCTTGTGGGTTGACAAAGACATTCCCTGGACTCTTTATCCCACCCATCCTATAAATGCAACCACTAGCTTTACTCCTGATAATGACCATGAGCAAAACTCACAGTATTTACGTAAGGGCTGAATAGCGATGGAATGATGACTTTTTTTAAGCCTGCAGAAATTATCCAAAGCCCAAATTCTACTAAAGATTGACATTTCAAAGAAGTTCTTTAATCATTGTGATGCTGAGTAGTACCTGTAACAATACAGAAATTTGTAAGTGAAAATTTTAAAGATAAAACCCACTTTGAAGGACTTCCACTAAGATGGAGGCGTAGGTGGAAGCACTGCGCCTTCTCGCACAACCAAGTTTAAAAACAACAAAGTTCTAGCAACAAAAATGCAGCCAAACCACAGAAAATTGAACTATACGGAAGTCTGACAACAATGAACCCTTCAGCCAAACTGGTAAGAGGGGCAGAGCCAGCAGCAGAGCAGGGTCAGGCCGAAAAGATCCACCAGACTGACCTGGGCGCGTGACCCAGGTGTGTGACCCAGGTACGCCAGCAGCCGTGGGCAGATCCAAGGTGAGGATTGGTGGGTGGACCCACTGAGGGCGCAAGGCGACGGACCCACTGTACACTGACCAGTCACACATTCGAGTGCAGATAAACTGGTGAAGGAGTGAGCAGTGAGACGGACCGTGCAGGCCCCAGTGGCGGGAAGCAGCAGAAGGGACCGCTATTGTCCCTCTCTGACCCCGCCCCCACATACAGTGTTACAACCCAGTGACCTGGGTAGCCCCACCCTGGTGAACATCTAAGGCTCTGCTCCTCATACCTAACAGGCACAAACAGATCAAAACATGGCTCAAGAACAACTCAGAGCCCCAGATCCCATAAATCTAATCAATGAAGAAATAGCCAAACTTTCAGATGCACAGTTCAAAACACTGGTGATCCGGATGCTCACAGAACTGGTTGATTTTAGTCACAAATTAGAGGAACATATGAAGGCTAAACTAATTGAAATGAAGGGAAATACACAGGAAACCAATAGTGATGGAAAGGAAACTGGGACTCAAATCAAAGGAGTGGACCAGAAGGAGGAAAAAAATGACCAAACAGAAAAGGATGAAGAAACAAGAATTCAAAAAAAGGAGGAGAGGCTTAGGAACCTCCAGGACATCTTTAAACGTTCCAACATCTGAATTATAGGGGTACCAGAAAGGGAAGAGGAACAGCCATGAGTAAAAAACTTATTTAAACAAATAATAAAGAAGAACTTCCCCAATCTGGCAAAGGAAATAGACTTCCAGGAAATCCAGGAAGCTCAGAGAGTCCCAAAGAAGTTGGACCCAAGGAGGAACATACCAAGGCAAATCATAATTGCATTAGCCAAAATTAAAATGAAGGAGAGAATTCTAGAAGCAGCAAGAGATGAGGGGACAGTCACCTACAAAGGAGTTCCTATCAGACTGTCAGCTGATTTCTCAAAAGAGACCTTCTAGGCAAGAAGGGGCTGGAAAGAAGTATTCCAAGTCATGAAATCCAAAGACCTACATCCAAGATTGCTCTATCCAGTGAAGCTTTCATTTAGAATGGAAGGGCAGATAAAGTGCTTCTCAGATAAGATCAAGTTCAAGGAGTTCATCATCACCAAGCCCTTATTATATGAAATGTTAAAGGGGCTTATTTAAGAAAAAAGAGTTTAAAAAATATGAAGAGTGAAGAGATAGCAAACTCACAGTTATTAACAACCACACCTAAAACAGAAGCAAACTAAGAGGACAGCTAGATCAGGAGCAGAACCATAGAAATGAAGATCGCATGGAGGGTTAGCAACAGGGGAGTGGGAGAAGGAGAAGGGGGGAGAAGGTACAGAAAATAAGTAGCATAGATGGTAGGCAGAAAATAGATGGGGGGGAGGGCAAGAATAGTAGGGGAAATATAGAATCTAAAGAACTTGAGACACGTAGTCATAAACTAAGGGGGGCAATGGTGGGGGAGGGGGTGTGAGGGTGGAGGGGAATGAAGGGGGGAAATAGAACGACTGTAATAGCGTAATCAATAAAATATATTAAAAAATAAATAAAAATAAATTATTAAAAAAAACCCACTTTGACAGATTATTTGGGGCCCTTAGCCCTGCTGTTTCAGCAGGAGCATATGGTTAATACAGATCTGCTAGGGAAGAGGGACCTGAGGGACCAGACAGGGAAGCAGAGAACAAAAAGAAGTATGGTTGTGAGAGGTATTATGGGACAGCGGTGGGGAGTGGAGGGCCCAGAGGGTACTTACAATGCTCCGGAGCATTTTGTCCCCACCGCTGAACGTGACCGCCAGCATGGAGGCACACTCCTCTGCATAGAAAGGCATCCGTCCCTCCTCATCCACTGCACCTGGGGACACAGGACGGGAAATGAGAGCTGAGATAAAAGCCGATCACTTCAGAGTTATCTTTGAGTTATTTTTTGGGAAGTTATCTGAGTTTAAAAAAAAACTTCAGTGGCCCAAGTGCCTCAGAGTGCCCACTCTCCTTACCTGAGCAGGCAAACTCAAGTGGCTGAGGGTATTCTGTGCCCTATATACCATTTTCTTAAGAGGTTCGCCCCAGAGTAAAACTGGGGCATTCCACCTCTGCACCTGCTCATTCACTCATACCTTCATTTTCCTCAGCATTTATTATCTACTGTGAGTCACACACTGTGCAAGGAGGGCCTTATGGAAAAGGACAGTCCTGATTTCAAGATGCCTACAGTCAGGGAGGGAGTTAGGTAAGTAAAGAAGTATAGTAGGGATAGCAAATACCGTGGAAGGGAGCACGGGTGAGGGGCAGTAGGCCTACTGGTAGAGGGGCCAGAACACAGGTCCAACCAGCTGTGGTTGGTGGAGGTGGGGTGGGGTATCTCCAGAGGTTGGGCTGAAAGGGTTTCTAGGGAATGGTAACTTCTAAGGAAGTCCTGGAATCCTCAGAGAGCAAGGCTAGTCCCTCCTAACTATATGAACCTAAAGAGAAGATCATGCTCATATATGAAGATACACAAGAGCTAGGGCACACCAAGGTACACAGTCCCTCACCAGAGTCTCTCTCACTCTCTCTCTCTCTCTCTCTCACTCTCTCTCTCACACACACACACACACACACACACACACACACACACACCCCAAGGTACACAGTTTCCACACCACAGAGTGACTCACACAAGACGCAGTCCCCTCACCACTGAGTCACACGGAACCACAAGGTCACTACCTATGGTGACGGTGTAGATTGAGTTAGCGTAGCCATCATAGTTACAGTTGTCATTGTGTTGGCCCCCATTGCCACTGGCGACCACAAAGACACTCCCAAAGCCCTGGCGGCCAGCAATCACCCCATGTTGCAAGGCAGCCTGAGGAGTAAAAACACCCAGGAAATCAGTTGAGAAACTCAAACGAAAGACCTCTACCTTCCATACAAATTGTCCTCCCCTCCCCTTCCAGGAAGAACAAAGCCCAAAGGCACTAGGTATGGCAGGAAGAGATCTGAAGGTGGACAAAAGGGGAGGAAGTTGTTAAGCAACTGTTGATGGATGTACTTTGCTTATCAGGGAAGGTAGGGTCAGAAATGGGGAGCCAAGCACAAAATCAAAGGGAAATCATCTCAAAGCACTGCTCCCTTTCTTTCCCTCAGGACCTGTGAACTCCTCCTCCATTCTGCTGCCCCCAATTAGGAATGTTCTTCCCAAAAGGAGGTGGCAGGGTTACATGGCACAAGCCTGGCAAATGGGGGTGGGGCGGGAGAGGGACTGATTTGGAATATTCTTCTAAGAACTGAATGAAGAGGGTGTACTAAGTCTCCTAAAGTCTTCACACAGTTTAGTTACCTTTCCAAGCTGATGGGGGCCATCTACTGTCTTCCCGTCATCATCTGGTCCCCAGCTGTTGAGAAATACCCAGAGAGAAGAGCCAGAGCCAAGTTGTGACAGCACCCCCAGGCCCAGCAGTCTCAGCTGGCCACCTCTCTGCCTGGGCTCTTACTCTTCTTCCAAGGGTCCAGTTCAGGATTCCCGTTATTAAAGGACAGAAGGTTCAAAGGTTCAGCTCCCACTCCAAAGTGGAAAAGAGAAGCATATGCTAAGATTCTTTCCCTTGGAAACTTTCCCAATTTGGCACTATTTTAACCTGTTCCTAAAAATCCTTTCTGAGGTCCCAGGGAGCAAGAGATAGGACATAGTGGTAGACAGGGACAGGGGGGCCACCCTCTCCTGATCTAGGGATATATTAGTAGGCATGATGGAAGAGCAACCATGAAGGAAGAATTCAATCTGCGTAAACTCTTGGGTCTGGGTAGTCTTCTGTTCCTTCTCTAAGAGGAAATGTGCATTGTGGATGCCAAGGATTTAAGGGAAGTACCAGTTACAGGGAAGAACAGGTTCCATCAGTGCCATGGGGGTAGCCCAATCTCAGTTGCTTTTCAATCCAACCCCCACCTTCCACCATAGCCACAACCTAAAGCTACAGGTGAGTTTATCTGTGTTGGGTAGAGGGGACTGGTGCTGGGCATTCAGCTTACTTAGTAGCTATGAGTGGAAAGGAAAGCCCACTTTCTCCCAGAAGCCTTATGAGTTTCTTAAATAGCTGGTGCACTCATGTGGCAACCTGATTACTGGGGTGACATGTGGCTTAAGACCAAGAACCCAGTGGCTGGGAGTCTAAGAAATGAGGGCAGTGGGCTTATAGGCTGAACCTAATAGGAAGACCTCTGCTGGAACCTGCCGGAACCTCTGCTGGAACCAGTTCATTTTGCTGTTCTTTTGTTGCAGAGTTAGTTCTAGGTGTCTGAGCCTCTTGCCCTCTCACCTGTTCCTGGCTCTTTCTCACCTGCAACTGTAGATGTCATTGATCTGATAGTGCTTGTTGAACGCCACAGCCTCCATGCTATCTGTGAGGGGTCCATCTAGTAACCGGATACCTAGGCAGCAAAGGCCACGTCAGCTCCTCAGTGATACTTGACCCCTAGATAGGGAACTGGGTGGTGGGTGGGGGGCCATCCGTGGAGATTTACTTTTCCCTCTAAGCGCTTTTTTCTATAGCATGTGTGACTGTCCAGAAATATTTTTTAAGATAATGCTAAATCTTAGGCTTTAGGGATCATGGGGTCTTGTGGAAAGAGAGCCAGGCTAGAATGTAGGTACCTAGGTTTCCCTTATTTGCATCCTTAATCGTGTAAAACACCAATATGGTGCTTGATACATAGATGGTGCTCAGTAAATTGTGTTTATTACCATTAACTACACCTATGCATGCCTAATTTCACCCTCTAAAATGAGGTGGGTCACATTCTGGTGACCACATAGAGGGACAAATGGAGCTTTCAGAAGGGAATTGGACCCTTAAGTTTTCTGGCTCCTCCGTAGCCTCATTTACAGTGAGGGTTGCTGCCCTCTGCTGGAATGTAGGAGGAATACAGCCAATTTATTCAGTCTGTGGGTTCCAAGCGTTTATGAGGAATCATGGGGAAAGCTTCCCCATTCATTCCCTTCACCTTTTGCTTTGATGGACAAAGACTGAGAGGTGAAGGAGCCACAGAACAACCCCAAGCAGAGGCCAGGGCTTCTCAGCTCTCTTGAAAGGATGGAGAACAACAGTAATCCTCAGAAGGGCTGGGAGCTGGAAAGCTGGGAGACAGGAGAGGAGCCTCAAGACATGTTTGGTCGAGGAAGAAGGGCAGATGAGGTGTTTGGCAAACTGAAAATACAAGTATAGTACAGAGAAGCAAAGGAGGTATCATGGCAATGAGGTGGGTCATTGATGGGGCATAACCAAGATCAGAAAAAGAGGGTACTACGCAGGTGGGACTCGAGGCCTCCATTCCGCATCAAGAGCATTCACACTTTTGTCTGTTCTATACGGCAGGGTTTGCTACTAAAAGCACGTCTAAAACACCACTGCTCTGGAAATCAGTGAGCTGATTTGTCCTTTTAGTATATACATTTATCATAAGCATCCTCTCTGTTCTGTGCTGTGTGTGCTGAGGGTGGGCTAAAGATGGTACACGACTCAGGAAGTGGGGCAGGGAATGGAGACTGCTATCGTGGGAGAAACCCACCGAAGCCAGACTTGAAAATACCTGCTATGCGGCTCCCATATGCCACTCCCACCGCACAGAAGCTGTTGTTAGGCACTGCGGCAATCTCTCCCGCACACCGAGTGCCATGGTGGTTGCCATTCTCCACATCCGGGTGGGGCATGGGGTCAGGGTCATTAGAGTTGAGGTCATAGCTGCCCTCAGGGCTCTGAAACATTGGGGTGGGGCGGCATGTGGTCACTCACTGGTTATAAGGGGTCAGGTCTTAGAGCTCAGGAAGAGAGGGGAACTGGGAGTTTGGGGCTCTGAGCCAGGGCAACAGACCCATATGGGCTACATGATATGAGGACAAGACACACTGGGGTAAAACTGAGAAGTGCTACAGTTCATAGGAAATTTTTCTCTTGCCCATTATAGAAATGTGTCCAGAAAACTGCTCCACGACTTGGGAAACCTGGGATAAAAAAGATCTAGGGCTTCCTAAAGGCCAGGCTCTAGAGAGGAAGGTGCTCAGCACTTGTGTGGAGAGGGAAGTTGCCTACAACCTGCACTCCCGACTGCCCAGGGCCAGGAGCTGCAACAGGAACCAGCTAGGAACCACCTGGGGTCCTCTCCCTTGCTGAGGGTAGAGCTACTCCATTTCTTAACAGCCAGTCTGGAACACTGGCTGGGGAGAAGGAGATGACAGACACCATCCCACCCCCCAGGCTCTTTTGTGTGACCCAAAGATCTCTACAAAAGGGGACAAGCCTGAGGCAATATCAAAAAGACAGTAAGACATGTGGGGGTGGGAGGGGTCATTCCAGGGTCACTCACATAGTTGGGAGCAATATCTTGGATGGTATGCTCCACTCCATCGTCCACTACCACCACAGTCACTCCTCGCCCAGTTACATTGCGTTCCCATACACCCGTCACGTTGATGTCTCTGCCGGGGCTCTGCCAGTTTTTCTGCAGGACAGACAGGGTCCAGAACTGTTTCAAAGCCTTGGGATTCCAGTGACACGCAGCAGAGCCCACAGAGATTCAAGTTCTGTCTAGCATCCTCTTTTTACTCTTGGCTGACATCAAAGAGCCAGATAGAGGTTGTACACCAATATGTCTAGGTGGGGACAGAGTCATGGAGGGTCAAGTGAGAGCTTTGCCACACCTAGGTCTCCAGGAGAGCTTGGCAGCATTCATGGGCAATAAAGATGAAATGGTGGATAGGCTTAAGGTTGGCTAATACAACTGTTATGCATATAGTGTTATTATATTAACATTATATAATATAATGCTAGTAGTTAACACTACAAAGTGTTTATCATGTGTTAGGCACACATGGCAATTAATTTATCCTTACTACCTCCACAAGGTAGGTACTATTACAGTCCCTGTTTCACAACAAGAGGCACAGAGAGGGTGAGAAGCTTGCCCAAAGGCACATGCTAGTAAGTGGCAGAACTAGAACATGAGCCCCGGCAGCCTGGTCCCAGCACCCACTCCCTAACCACTGCAGCCCACTGACTCTCTAGAAGTGACTACAGGGAAGGTGGAGCCTGAGGAACAAACATGTCACCGAAGTGCACAGAAATGTCTCTTCAGGCAAACTGAAAAGTAATATAGTCAAAACTTCACTAAAAAATTGGATACCCAGGACCGACCCATCTGAAGCTGAACACTACAGGGCTGGACTTACCAGGTGCCACTGCTGTGGGAACTTGGGGTCATTGAAGTAGACGCTGCGCTTGGCTCGCTTTAGCAGCTTCTGCTCTGAGTGCCAGCGCACAGCGCCATGTCTGGCTAGCACAGCCTCTGCCTGCTGCCGGATGACCTCTACCTGCTGGTCTAGCTGGTGCCCAGCTCGCTGGACAAAGAGGTAATGGCCCTGGAGTTCCCCGATACGTCCGACATTCACCAGTCCTGCTGCCTGGGCCAAGGCATCGGCCTCTTGCTCCAGTGTCTCTTCTTCTCCACTGCCTTTCTGGCTGTCCAGCTGCACAGCCCAGCTTAGCCCCCCTGGGCCCTGGGCGTCAGGCCCACCTGTCCCTGCCAGGCCCATGATGCAGGGAAACAGTAAGAAGAGCCCAGCTATTTCCAGCCAAAGGCAGGTGGGCAGGCCCAGGGGGGCATCCAAGTGTGGCACCTTCTGCCTCTCCTTCGGCATTAGAGCAGTAAGCTGCAGGCAAAGAGAAAGGACATGAGAGATAAAAGAGCTGATAATTGCAGTACTCTGAGATGGGGACTAAGTCATTAATGTACAACTGGAAACCCCCAATCGGTGTCTTTTAAATTAGGAAACATGTGATCCTCTATTTTTATTCAAGTTCATCTCTGTCCAACAGGGACAAGCCCCCAGGTGGAGTGTGGGCTGGGACTAACTCCAGTGAGCCCCTCATCTCAACAGATAATCAGGCAGCACGTCCAGTTGCTAATAGGCACCATACTGCTTGCTCTTTCCCACTGCTGCCATGAAAAGGGCTCAAAAGTCCTATCACTCCCACAGATTACTGGCAGAATCATGACTGTTCTTTAGAAGAGACCCCCCCTCCCTTATTTAGAGGGGGGCAACAATCTTTCCCCAGCTGACTTCCCGGTCCAGATGTCTTCAGGGCTAACTCTTCCCAGTGGGGCCCCATTCCCACCTGGACTGTATGTGAGGTTGAGCTCCTGGTCTGGCTAACCACCTCATGCTCATTTTGTGCAAATGGAGAAAAGGCATCACTTTCACTATGAGTTGTGTTGACTCTGAGCAGAGATTGCAGACCTGTGGACCCCAAGAAAAGAAGAAATGGTGTCCTCCCAAACCTAGTGGAACAAACAGAGGCTTGCAATGAACCCCAGGACCTGTAACCAAAGAAACTGGCCAATCATCAAGTATCATTTCCAGGGACCTCAGATAGGTCATCGACCGGAACAGAACTAGTACAATAAGGCCAAAATAGTACAAAATCCAGAAACACTATTTGTTGTTCTAACCATCATACATACAATCTTTTTCTCTTTTTACCCCAGAGACCTAAAAGAGGACTATTACCAAAAACCCCTCTTGAAAAAGTAGGTCATAACATTTCCTAGAGGTCCAGGTAGCAGGAAAGTAAGAGTAGGTGGAAGGCAGGGGAAAAAGGAAAATATGAGAATGTAAATGAAACTGAATAGACACAAAGGGCAAGTGGGTAACCAGAAGAGAAGAAATGCCGGAAAGCAGCACTAGAGGGCTATCCTTAGTTGCATTAAAGGGCAACTAACTCAGCAGGCTGGCTTGGAAGTGAGGGCTCAGACTTCAAACATGGGAATGCCACCCATGGTTTGATAAAAGGGCCAAATTACAACTAACTGGTGGGCAACCATGGGGACAGAAACAAGTGAATGGGTGGCAGAACTTCTGTGCACCTACTGGTGGCCAGGCTCCTTTAGAAGCATGTGCTGTCTACTGGTATCTCTCAGTACTCACACAGATACCCAGATGGACCTGACTCAAAACATTACAGAAAATGGGTGTTTCACTGAAGTCTCTTTGGAAAGGGAGAGGGAACTTATACCAACATTTCCCTCCAAGATTCTACATTCCACAATTCCTCTCTGGTCCTTTTAGGTTTCCAGGCACACTCCCTCTCAAAGTCCTCTTTGCTCTACAGCAGCAGCCTGGATCGTCCCAAGATATTCAGGTGATTTTGCCAGTGTTCGTACCTTACTAAGTAAAACACAAGCTTGTTTATTAGTAAGACAGTGACTCATCTAGGAAGGCTCCTTCAATCTCAGGAGATTCCGTAGATTTCCCGAAGGGAAGACAACCTGACCACCACTTCCTCCTTGCCCTCTGGCACAGCGGTTCTTTACCCCACCCACCCGATCCCAGGCTTCCGGGAAAAGAATATTGAACACCTCTGGAAACGGATCTTAACCTCCTTCAACTGCTGAACATATCTTTACAGCTCTTAGGTGCCAAGGGAGAATAGAAGTTAATTTGGGAAGCCCAGAGTCCAAGAGTCTGCTCCCAAGAGACTAACCTCGCACTGTCTACACTCTGCTCCTAGAAACCAGGTTGCGTACAGGGGTCAGTTTCATCGATTTCCCCCTCCCTGGCCTCGACTGCCCTGTCCAGGGTACTCCTCCTCAGAGAAACCCAGACTGTTCTGGAATCCCTGACTCCGGTGGCCCACGTCCCTGGGCTATTCCATGCTTGGAACAAGGAGCAGTCTGTGCGGCTCCCTCATCCTCGGGTACCGGCTCCCCCCAGTTCTCGGCCACCTGGACTTACAATACTGCGCCCCCAATGTGTTTCCAACTCACCGGCCGGGCGGCCGCCCCAGCCGTCGCCTCCCTGCGGAAACTCGCGGCTTCCCGGGGGTCCGAAGCCAGTGACAGCAGCATCACTTCCGCCCGGCGGCGCAGCCAATCAAAGGCGGGTCTTCGGGCCCGGCCGGACTGGGCCGACTGGGAGCAACCGGCGAGAAGAGGCTACTCTTTCGGGGATCCTTCGCGGGGAGAGGAGAGTGCGGGTGTGGTGGGCGGGCTTTCCTCGCGGGCTCCACAGTCTCGAGGTCTCGGGCATCTTCAAGAGGGGATTCCCCAGAACCACTGTCTTCATGGTGTTCTCTGGAAAGAGCTTCTTGGTTGAGACATTTAAAAACACCGCGTTTCTTTTCTCTCTCTGACTGTCATGGTCCCGACTCTCCCTGTAACCTTTCTAGAAAGGCTTTTCCCTCCACTGAGTCCCCTTTACTTCTCGCGATTGCATCTCGTCTCTTCCCCACGCACGTCCCTGGAGAGTCCGCTTGAATCTTGGGCTTCCGTTAAATCCTGTTCCTTCGACGGTGCCAGCTCTGGTCGCCAGAGGGCGCTGTCGGGGGCGGCCGGAACCAGTGCGGCCTCTCCTATCCGGGGCCTTGCCTCGGCCCCTCCGCTCGTGCAGCCGGAAGTGGGAGGTGTAGCGCGCCGACCAGCGCTCGACCCCTCCCCCCCGAAGCCCGATCGCCCCCTCCCCCTGCTCCACCCGCTCAGGTGCGTCCCGAGCCTACCCTTCTTTCCTCCTCTGGGTTAGAAACTCGAGGGGTGTGCGGGGTCGGGCTCGCGGGCTGGGGGCTGCGACGCCGTGAGGTGGGAGTGAGGTGGGGGGGGCGTGGAGGGTGCCGTGAGGATGCGGGCTGAGGTCCTGGCCTAGAAGTGGCACCGGAGCTGGCCACGGGATGCTAAGCGGAGGGGAGTGTGCAGAGGGTCTCTGGTCGGAGGCCGAGGACGGCTTAGCTAGTTGGAGGGCGGCCGTGGTCCCCGGCGCTGCTTTCACCCATTGTCCCCTTCGCGTCCGTCCCCTGTTCTCCAAGGACCCGTTGCTCACGCCATCACCGACTCGCTGGCGGTCTCCGTCAGTTTGCGGTGCGGGGGAGATTCCCTAGGTACCTTCCACATTCCATCCCACACCGCAGCCCGATGCACCTGCCCCCTACTCCCTGGGCTCTCTAGCACGGAGTTGCCTGTATGACCCTGTCCTGTGGTTTCGATTCGCTGGGCACCAAGGATAGTTTGGGGGCAGGATGTCTGCACCTGAGGTAGAAGTAACGGCGATTTAGGGGCCCATTTTCTCCTAGGAGCTTTTTCTAATGCGTGAAAACTGAGGCACAGGGAATCTCTGGCTTGTGACTGAAGTGTTGACACAGCTGTCTTCGTACTTGCCAAGGGTGTATAGCTGTTATTATAACTAAAATTTTAAAAATAGAATTTAAACTAACCCTATCTTACACCACCCTCCCCCGATGTATATTTTTTTCCCAGACAGAACCATGAGTTTGTTCTGCAACATAAAAGATAAGATGATGGTTTGATCTAAGAAAGTCATCTATTCCGGTTCCCTTACTTGGATTGTCCTGTTTTCAGCTCATTTTCATGCTAGCATGATTTAGATTCTCATACTCTTTTGCACCCTTGTAGTGACTGTGAAGAGTCTGCACTTCACTAAGTCAGTGGTTGTCAAACTTTTCCCATCCATGGGGAAGTACTGACAGAGTAAAAGATACTTGGGTTGCCCAATATAATATTGCTTTTCTTTCACACACAAAACACCTCCCTAAAACTTCTCTTAATGGAGTATGCTTTTAATGTAATAGCAATAAAACGATTTAAAAATGTATGATATTGTTGATATTAGGCCAAACAATGTATCTTTTGTAAATGGTATTAGGTAAGGTGGACCATTTGAAAGAGTCTCAAAACTCTGGTCTAATGTTTAAATGACTGCATTTATGCCAAAAGTGAAGAAGATTTTGCACAGACTCCTATGATTATATAAATATGGTGCTTCCTGAGGATCGATGTCCACTGGGACCTATTGCATGAACTGGCTCTGTTAATACCCTACTATAGAGTAAAGGCTCTTAAATATTTTCTCCTGGGGTTCAACTTTGTTTCTTTCCTGGAACAACTAACTGTTTTGTGGGCATTCTGAGGGGAAAAGATACATTTGTTTTAAAAACGTGAAACTCGTGGCCTATAATTTGTTTCTGAATGTGCAGAGCATGATGGCTGCGCCTGAGGTGGCTGGTGTGGTGGACAATGCCCCCAATCCTCCAGAATCCTCTTCTAGTGTTTGTGCTTCCAAATCAGACGGAGGTCTCCTAGGTGCTCTAAGGTAATGTGTGGATTCTTGATTGGGGAGATGTTTTTTGGGTAAAGGGCTTTTGAGCTGGGTTTCTTACGGAAGTGTAGCTGCTCTTTTCTCTTTTTGGCTGTAGTAGCACTGCACTGCACTAGATTAAGCTTCTTAAAGGTAGGGACTCTTTGATTTATATTTTTATTTCTGGTGCATAACAGCGTCTTTGACACTCAACAGGTATGCTAAATGTTTATTGAATAAATAGAATACAAGGGGTCAGACTCATCCAAAAATGCACATATTTCTTCACTGCACCCTACATGGATTATATGTTCATTTAGCGACATGTTTATATATTACACATATGTATATATATCTTCTATGTAATGTGTACATAGATACATGTATGTACATATATGTGTATGTTAGTATTTATATATCTGTATGTATCTATAGGACCCGTTGACACATTGACACATTGTATGTGCAGTGTTGTACTAAATTGACTATAGATTCTACTTCAGCTTTTCCTAGAGTATCTAGGACCTAATGCAATAGATAATGCTGTCCTAATAGCTTTTTATTTATTAACACATTTAATCCTCCCTACAATCCCAGGAGGTAGGTGCTAATATTATTATTCCCATTTACAGGTGAGGAAACTGAGACACAGAGAGGTTAGTAACTTGCCCAAGGTTACCAAGCTATGTTGGAGTCAGGGTTTGAATCCAGGCTTGTCTGACAACAGAGTACTTAATAAATATTTGTTTAAATGAAGAAAAGTTTGTTAGTAAGTGGGTAATGGGGAAAAATGTTAAGTAAGCCTAACCACAAACTTGGATCTTCAATTTGTAAATAAAATCAGCCACATACTACTAGTAATAGTAATACCAATTGAAGTTTATTGAGTGTTTACTATGTGCCAGGCACTGTACTAAATATTTAAGGTGAATTATTTCACATAATCCTATTATTTCACAATAATCATATTAAGTAGGTGATAGTATTTCTGTTTTACAAATGGACTTAAGTAATTTGCCCAGAGTCAAACAACTAGTAAGTAGTGGAGTCAGGATTCACACGTAGGTACTATATATGCCCATATTTGTAATGAATTACCCCCTTCCCAACTCCTCAACTCCCAGCAAGGAATCAGCTTGGAGTATTTATAAAGATTTTCATATTACATGATGTTCTCCCAGTTGTTTTATTTTGAGCAGCAAGTGCTACTGAGGAAAGAAAGGCATAGTGACCTGAAGGTTCACTGTATGCTAGTTTGGGGTTTTTAAAAAAGGCAAAGAAATTTAATACAGATTTAGTCATTGTATTATTCTTTTGTGAAAAACTTAACAGTTGCAAATGTTGAATGTCACTGTAAGTAGATTTTAAAAATCTCTTAAAAACTAATATGTTAAGTCACCACGATAAACAATAAAACAATTTATCCCACTGTTGTACCTGTGTGTCCTTGTCTGGGATAAAATTTCTACTTACAGCTTCAATTTTTGATTCAAAATTGTTTGTACTTAAGACAGCCCAAAGTGAAGGTGCTGTGCTCTGGAAAACTGTCAAAGAACCTAAAAAGTGGTTCTGGTCAGAGATCTGTATAGTGATTTAGAGTGAAAATTATTTTTGTGACATGTGAGTGTGGAATAAAAACATTTCTAAACTAATATTTTATGTATTAAAATATGCGTAACTAACTCAATACATGTAACAATGAAATATTCTAATATTAGGCTATTTCATTGGTGTTATTCCTAAATATTAGGAATAATAATAATAGTAATTGAATAATAATTATTCAAATTGGCCTTCAAAAAGTTTTTGAATCTTCAGAGTCACTTATGTGTAGTCATTTACTGTAGACTGTCTCCAAAATCCAGGTTCTTAACCACCAAGCTATACTCTCTGTATGTGGGGTAAATATCACTGGATAAATACCACTAAGTTCTTTTTCATTTTGATAATTGGGGGGGGGGGTTCTTTTGTTCTTGTTCTTTTAGAGGTTACATGAAAAGCATTATGTATTTAATCCTCTTTAAGATTGGGTGAAGAGAGAAACTTTTTATCTTATGTTTTGGTAGCCCCAAAGACCCTGCACAGAAGCACAAGAACTCACCTCTGTCAAGTGTAAGTAGCCAAACGATAACCAAGGAGAATAACAGAAATGTCCATTTGGAACAGCCAGAGCAGAATCCTGGTTCGTCAGCAGGTGACACTTCAGCAGCGCACCAGGCGGTTTTAGGAGAAAACTTGGTAGCCACAGCCCTTTGTCTTTCTGGCAGTGGGTCTCAGTCTGATTTGAAGGACATGGCCGACACAGCAGGAGAGGAGGGGGACACATGCCTCCAGGAGAGCCTCCACCCTGTCACTCAGTCTCTTAAGGCAGGGTGCCATACAAAGCAACTTGCCTCCAGGAATTGTTCTGAAGAGAAATCCCCACAAGCCTCCGTCCTAAAGGAAGGTAGCAGGGACTCAGGCTTGGATTTCCGACCTGTAGTACCTCCAGCAAATGGGGTTGAAGGAGTCAGAGTGGATCAGGATGATGATCAGGATAGCTCTTCCCTGAAGCTTTCTCAGAACATTGCTGTACAGGTCAAGTATCAAGTTTCTACTATTAAAATGGAATTTGGGCTTTTTTTTTTTTTTTTTTTTAGGGTAAGAGACATTTCTTCATGGTTGGCGGAGAACTACTCTTTATTATTTTTTTTTACCGGCAACTTGCATACTATTTCCATTTGGCACTATGTGATGACTTCATTCTGGTGTTCAGTAAATAATAAAGCCAGGAGCCATTGTCTTAATTGTGGTGACTAGGAACTTTATGATCTACACATAATCTCTTTCACTGAGTAATTGATGAGTGTAGGTCATTCACATTCATATTTCCCATCTTTGTCCTTGCAGGAGGAATCCTTGTTAATTCTCTGACCTACATCTTAAGAAGTACAATGTATCCTGCCTTATAGTGACTGGTGTGCTTTGTTGTAGGAGGAAAGATGGGTGCCATAGGTTGTAGGGGGCAATATTCCAATCTCAGACTTCAGGCTGTCTCTCTGTTAGTTCTTGGGTTTTGTTCAGGTTATTTGGTGGGATAAGTGCTCACTGCAGTGTGGATGTCAGTGTCCATTTGCCAGAACTACAGTGCTTCTCTTGCTGTGGAGCCAGTAAGGTAGTTTCTTAGTTACTTGTGGCAGATTTCTAGGTAAAAGTACTAGAGTAATTCTTCCTCTTAAAATGTCAGTGAATGGTTCTGAATATATTGTTTTTTTTCTTTATAGACTGACTTTAAGACTGCTGATTCAGAGGTAAACACAGATCAAGATATTGAAAAGAACCTGGTAAGTAGGTAAACTGTCATTGTTGATATATAAGACCATTAATGCAGAAAATCTAGAGTCATCTGATCTCAGTTGGAAAAGGTGCAGGAACCTCCTTTATACAATTCCTGATGGATAGTCAGCTGACTTCTACATGATCATTTCTAGAGATGGGAAGCTTACTGCTCACAAAGCAGCCTGTTGCATTTTAAAAATAGTTCTTTATTGTTAGATCTCATTCTGAGGTGAGGACAGAACCTCTAAGACTTGTTATAATTCTCTCTTGAACTATGTAGAGTAAATCTAAATCTTCTTTTACTTGTTAGCACTGCATGTTTTTGGGAGAGGTGGGGGCACTGATTGAATTCAACAAATATTTATTGAGTTCATATTATGTGCTTGATATTGTTCCACGTACTTGGGACACATCAGAGAACAAAACAAAGGTCCCTGCCCTCATGGAGCTTACAGTCTGGTTTTTATGATCACTTTGCCTGCACACTGCCTGTGACCCCATGCAAGTCACGGCACCTCTCTGTGCCTCTGTCCTCAGCTACTTGATGCAGGAAGAAGCAAGCCCAGCCCTAATGTGGGTAACATGTCTGGTGCACTGTAGATGCCAAACAAGACACCACACTCCCAAACTACCACCTGTACAGTAGATTGGGCTAGAAGTTGACTTTTAATAATAAAATACAAGTGAGGAGGGCAGAAGAAGTGGAGCAGGGTAGTCTGGTGTGCTGCAGCACCAGGGCTTGGGCTGGCTACACCAGCTGCTGCTGCTGCTGCTGCTGCTTGGTGGCTGCCTTGCTGACAAGGTTCTTGGCCTTTACTGGCAATGCCATCTCCTCTGCCTTCTCCTTGGCTTCCTTGGTTGTCTCAAACTAGGGTTTTGGAAGGGGCCTCACCTTGCACCTTGGCCAAAATATATTCAAAACCCTTCATTGTCTTGGTCACATTGCTGTTGAATTGGGTGAGACCAAATTCCTGGACAGCTCTGAAGATGCCGAATAAGCTAGAGGAGACCCAGCCTTCCCAGCAGATTTCAGTCCAGCTGCTGTTATCAGGTCACACAGTAAACACATCATTTCTCCACACCAGCAGTTTGGCATGGTTGATGTTCCAGGTGAAGGTGGTCATGGTCTGGTTCTGTGGTCCACGATAGAATCTTCCAGTATGTACACCGAGTGAGCAGCATTGGCAGGAAACAGGTGCTTGGCCTAGTGGGGCCTCCTGTGGATCTTGACAGGAATCTCTGGGACAAGAACTTCTGGTCAGGGATCATCTCTTGGTGTATTGAGTCTTTTGTCAAGACATTTGCTATAGAGATTTGGGTACTGCTGCCAGAAGGCAGCAAACACTTGATCCCAGGAACTCCAGAGCATGTTGTGGCCCAGAAAATATTTCACCATCATCCCCAGTCATGGGAACCTTGGCTCCTGCTAAGCATCAGGGGTGCAAAGTGGGGCAGGAAAGAGGGCTTGTGCACAGGTGGTGGCATGCAGAGGCCAGCTTGGGTTCGGTATACACCCGCCAGCTTTGCACCTCAGTCACCACCAGTCCATGCCCCACAAGCTGCTGCCACCATAAGAAGTTGTCCAGTAACCCTACATAGTTTTGAAGTTTTGTAGTTTTGTTTTTTCCTTGCCTCTTAACTCTCAGGACTGAACCTTTCTAGGTGAGACATCCCCAATGTTTTCTTTCATTTTAAGATTTTATTTACTTTTAGAGAGAGGGGAAGGGAATGAGAAAGAGAGGGAGAAAAACATTAATGTGTGGTTGCCTTTTGCACACCCCTAACTGGGCATCTGGCCTGCAACCCGGCATGTGCCCTGACTGGGAATTGAACTGGCAACACTTTGGTTTGCAGGTTGGCACTCTGTCCACTGAGCCACACCAGCCAGGGCCCCAAATTTTTTTTTTAACAGACCTTTTTTCTTTATGTGATAAGTTTCAGTCCTTTCATCATCCTGGTTACCTTTTTATCCAGACTTTCATCTTATCAATGTTTTTTTGAAATTCGATACTAAAAACTAAATGTAATAATCCAGACAGTATAATTAATTTATAATACAATGGGGCTCTCATGCTCCAGCTTACTATTTCATAAGCTGTTGCCTTATTTTGGCAGTCTCATCACTTTCAGTCAAACTCCATCAGTTCTTTCTCTCATGTGTGGCCAACTCCAGCCAGCAGAGTCTGCCTGTTGTGGCTGACGAGAATGAATGCACAGGTGACAGCAATCCTGTGGAGAAAAGGGGAACAGCACCACTACTCTCTCAAGGAGAGAGCGCCTATGGTGCCTTGGCCACTCCCTCAAGAGGAGGGCACCCCAACCCTTGCCTAGACAGGCTTTTATTGTTTTCTTGGGGTCTGACATCAGAGAAAGATTTATTATCTATTACATAGAACAACATTGTCTACATTTTAGGTACAATCAAGAAAATGAAAATAACAGGCAGAGGGGAATGGCGATGAGCTGATTAGCTCTGTCCCTGGGCAAATTCACACAAGCTTTGGATATTACCTTGAAGATAGACAATACACATTTGTTGTTTTAGACCAGGGTGATGAAGTTTTAGAAAGAGCAAACTATAACAGTCTGTATGCATTTTCTAGGCCTGATTCCTACGGGAAAACTCAGTTTAAAGGTCTGGCTCCTGCCCACCACCTTGCTTCTGTAGGTTTTCCATACAGAGCTGAGTCACATTTGCCAGACTTAAACAAACCGGTCCCCTACACTTACGTATTATTTAGTTGTAGCTTTCCATTTTATTCCTAGATAATTAGTTTAAAAAACTTAGAGACAGAGGGCCCTGACCAGGGTGGCTTAGTTGATCGGATGTTGTCTCTGAAAGCAAAAGGTCTCTGGTTTGATTTGATTCCTGGTCAGGGCACATACCTGGGTTGTGGACTGGTCCCCAGTCAAGGCGTGTGTGAGAGGCAACTAATTGATGTTTTTCACATATCAATCTTTCTTTCCCTCTCTTCCCCATTTTTCTAAAAGATAAATAAAATCTTTTAAAAGATGGGCAAAGATATAAGCAAACATTAAAAAAGAACCTTGGAAACATCACTTGGAAACAGAACTTTGTTACCCTGGTCCCCTTTATGTATCACTGGCATTTTGGGGCAAAAACTTCTACCCCTGAAGTGAATGCCTATCTAAATGTATATTTTTCAAGAGAATGGATAATTTTCTTGTTGGAAAAGCCACCTTGGATCAGGAAGAAGTCTGTAGGGTAAGATGTGTTAATTGAATGGAAAAAAAGGAATAGTGTTTGTAGTAACTGTAAGAAAGTGACTATGTGGAGCATGTTGAAGAAATTTAGAGGTAGATGGAAAGAAATAAATTATTGGAGTACATTAATCAGACAAGGCCAGTAAAAACTTTTCAATAGAGAGTTGCTACTTGGGAGTTGTTAATAACAGACAGGTAAAAATATCCTAGAGATGAGAGACCTCACGGAGATATTCTGGGTAGAAGAGAACCTCCAGAGAATAGAAGAGAAAGTCATCTTTTCTCAAACACATATGCTAATTTGTTTATTTACAAAGAGTATTCATTTTGGTTCCTGTGGTTTAAGATGGGATTTGGATGACTATATAGCAATTGAAGGGGCCAACTGAATTTATAAATACACTTTAGTATCAGTCTGAACCAGGTGGAAACTGGCAAGCAATTGGGCCAAAAGAGGCCCAGAGCTGTGTTCTGTTTGGCTGTCTTCTTTTGGGTGGTGGTATGACCTAAAATTTTTTAGAAAGGCAGTGGAACTAGGCAGGTGTTAAGCTTGGCAGCAATGCAAAAAACTTGGCTCCTGTTTGCTCTCCTTTTCATGCATTTATGGTAATTGTGCACTCCCTTATATCTATGTGTTGTAAATTGACCCTCTGTAAGTTTTAGTGTCTCTTTTGAAAGGTGACCATGGCTATTTTTGATTTACTGATTTGAGGGAGGCAGAGCTGAATTGTGGTCCTTGCTTCTACTCCCAACTTGATATGAGAGCTTGCTGCCTTGCTCAACCTGAATCCCAGGTTTCCTATGCCTCTTAGTGGGTCTCTCAGTTTTCAGAGCTAATGATGTAAGACATCCTGTTTCTGGATGCATTTTGATAGGTGGTATGTTCTTTGTTTTTGCCCATTCTTTTCCTGTTTCTCTTAATGAATGATAAAATGCCTCCTTCCTCTTATTCCCTAGAGTTGAGATTGACAAACTTTTTTTCTAAAGGGTAAGGAAATAAATATCTTAGGCCTTATGGGCTGTATGGGCTCTGTTGTAACCACTCCACTCTGCTATTGTAAGGTGAAAGCAGCCTGTAAGCCATTGGCTGTGGCTGTCTTCCTGTAAAACTCTATCTACGAGAACAGGCAATGGCTGAATTTGGCTCACGGGCCATAGGTTGCCACCTTCTGCTGTAGAGCAGTTTTGTACAGTAGGACTCCCTGTAATGATGGAAATCTTTTCTATCTGTGCTGTCCACTATGGTAGCTACTAGTCACATACAGCTATTGAGCATATGAGATATAGCTAGGAGACAAACTAATTAGATAAACTGATTAATTTCTTTTTAAATTAGTTTAAATTACCATAGCCATAGATGGCTAGTAAGCTGCAGTATTGGACACTGTAACTGTGGAGCTCTACATAGTGTTTTGAGCAGGCACCTGGGGAGTGTTTCTTGCAATTATATTGGGGAACTACACTTTTTTTCTGTTGTTACCAATAGGATAAAATGATGACCGAGAGAACCCTGTTGAAGGAACGGTACCAGGAGGTCCTGGATAAGCAGAGGCAAGTGGAGAATCAGCTCCAAGTACAATTAAAGCAACTTCAGCAAAGGAGAGAAGAAGAAATGAAGAATCACCAGGTATTCTGTTTATGTTATGATTGTCAATAATTAAAGCTATAGTCTCTAATCAAACTTTAATTTTGTTTCCAAGTTAGTAGAACTAGAAAAGCAGTATTTAACTTTTTAGTTATTGTAGAATTTTAAGGATAAAAATAACCTTTGAGATCATCTTGTTCAAACTCTGACTTGTCTTTTAGTTCAGAGAGAAAAGGAATGTTTATTTAATATAGCTTTTTGACATAATTGATAGTCTACCTAGAAAATAATTTGATTAGACTGTTTTATCACATCATATTAAAAATACTATACTAGGTAAATTAAAAATCTACATATAAAAAGTAGAAAAATCTTTCAAATTAGAAAAAATTTAGGTAATATTTATAAAACCTCAAGTTGTAAGAGATCATTTTAAGCCAGGCAGAAAACCCAGAAGCCATAAAAAAATTAATAAATTTAACTACATGTAATTAAAAATTTTTGATGCAGCAAATGATTAAAAAACAGGCAAAAAGATCAGTGTTAGGCTGAGAGAAAATATTTGTAGTACATCTGGTGAAGGGTTTAATATTTGTGACACTTTGAGACTCCTATAAATTTGTGGTAAAATCAAATAATCTATAGAAAAAACACGAAAGGTTATTGTATTAGCTCCCTATTGCTGCTGTAACAAATTACCATGAATTTAATGGCTTAAAACACACAAATTTATTATCTTACAGTTTTTATAGGTCAGAAGTCCAACTTGATGTCACTGGGTGAAAGTCATGGTGTCAGCAAGGTCGTACTCCTTTCAGTGGGCTTTAGGAGAGGACATGCTTCTTTGCATTTCCAGCTTATAGAGGCTGCGTGCATTCCTTGACATGAGGCTCCCTTCTCCATCCTCAAGTCGGAAACATTGCACCTCTGACCATTCTTCTCTAATCACATTTTCCTGGGGTCATCATAGGGACAGGGTCTTCATTTTTAGAGACCCATGTTGTCCCTGGCTGGTGTAGCCCAGTGGATTGAGCAAGGGCCTGCGAACCACATGATTGCCGTTCAATTCCCAGTCAGGGCACATGCCTGGGTTGCAGGCCAGTTCCCAGCAGGGGAGTCATGAGAGGCAACCATACATTGATATTTCTTTCCTCTCCTTCCCTTCCTCTCTAAAGATAAATAAATAAAATCTTAAAAAAAAAAAAAGACCCATGTTGTGATTAGATTGGGCCACCCAGATAATCCAAGATTACCTTCACATTTCAAGATTCTTACCAAAGTCACACCTGCAGAGTTTCTTTTCCCATGGAAGGTAACATATTCACAAGTTCCAGGAATTAGAATGTGTCTATATTTTGAGGGTGGGGCTACTATAGACAGTAACTTGCAGAAGAGGAAAAGCAAATAGGTCATGAAAAGAAGCTCAGCCTCACTGGTATTTATTCATTCACTCAGCAAATGTTTTTTGAGTTCCTGATCCAGGCTCTGAAGATTTAGTGGTGAATGAAACATATTCTCTGCCTCCATTGACTATTTCCTCTAGTTGGAGGAGACAGACAATAAAAACAATAAAGAATGGGGGTTAGGGAAGTGCACATTATAATTCTTAGTGACTATTCCTCCTTCTCCCCCAAAGGACTGGCAAAAGTGAAATAAGTTGTCAAGTGTGAGGAAAATGAACTCTTTTCAGACATGGCTAGGAGTATGAATTGTTTTGACCTCTTTGGAAAAGTTATTAGGAATTGTCAGTTAAAATTTAAAATGTACACATACCATGACCTAGCAGTTTCATTGTTAAGAATCTATTCTACAGAAACGAAAGCTTTTGTATTAAAGTGTAGATATCTTGAATGTTTATTTTACAGTATTTTTATTTTACTTATTTATTTATTGAAAGATTTTATTTATTTATTTTTAGAGGGGAAGGGAAGGAGAGAGGGAGAGAAATATCAATGTATGGTTGCCTCTCATGCATCCCCTGCTGGGAACTGGCCTGTAACCCAGGCATGTGCCCTGACTGGGAATTTAACCTCGGTCCTTTGGTTTGCAGGCCCGCGCTCAATCCACTGAGCTACACCAGCCAAGGGCTACAGTATTGTTTTTAGTTCCAAAAAACTGGAATCAACCTGAGGGACTCAATAGAGAATGGTTGGAAAATGCGTATATGTGCATTACGTCATATTATGCAGGATAATAAAATGACCTCTTTTAAAAAAACGAAAAAGCAGTGAAATACATAAGTATACACACGTTTGTGTGAGAATGGTGAAAGATGTGAAAAGTACAAAGCAATACATTGATTGCTTTATGGATGGAGGTGGTGTGCATTAGGGAGTGACTTAACTTTTTATTACTTTTCATATATATATATGTATATATATATGTACTTGTTAAATAGTAAGAAAAGAAAAAACTAACCTCACACATAATAAAATGGGACTGTAACAAAACAAGGAAAGACCATGCTTGTTGAAAGTAACAAACTGCCACCCTGTGCAAGAATACCTTTCTCAACATTCTTGACAGGTTCATTCAGCCTTTATTTGAACACCAGTAATGGAGAGCTTATTGCTTCACAAGGCAGTAAATTTCTGTTGAATTGAAATCTGCTTTGTTTTGACTGTCTTCCTTACATCTATCTAAATACTAGCTTTTGGAGCTACTCATCAACCAGATTCTTTCAGTTCAGTTTGAATTTACTGTCAGTTCGAATTTACTGAATAAATTTGTTATTCACAAATAAGTCAACATGTTAATTTGTGATAGTTGAAAATAACTTTCAGACCAAAATAACTAATTTATTTCCTTCCTTATTTGTGTGTGACTGTAATTGTATGGGACTCAGGAGATATTAAAGGCTATCCAGGATGTGACAATAAAGCGAGAAGAGACAAAGAAGAAGATAGAAAAAGAAAAGAAAGAGTTTTTGCAGAAGGAGCAGGATCTGAAAGCTGAAATTGAGAAACTTTGTGAGAAGGGCAGAAGGTAACTGATGCTATTTGAGAATAAAAAATGTATGTGTATGTGCATAAGGGGCCAGCCCTGTTTCTATTTCCAGTTTCTTTCAGTCTAATTTTTATTTGGAAAACAAGTACACAAATAAATATCCTCTAATGATTGTAGCTTTTGGACTAAAAGCAGGTAATTGTTGGGTCCCAAGTTTGATCAAGATTTTGATACGCATCTAATACTTATTTTACATGATTTTTTTTTAAGTTTAGGCTATGAGAATACTTTGATTGTGTTTATGCTATTCAGCACCAAAAGCAAACTTCAGAGAGTAACATTGTAAGCTGTTTGGAAAGAATTATTTAGTGGATCTGTATCCTCTTCTGGGTACTGGAGCAAGAGTAAGGTGGGCATAGAAGTCAATCAAATTTTCAGTTTTTCAAGTTTATTTTTTTTAAGATTATTTATTTATCTTTAGAGGGGAAGGAAAGAGGGAGAGAAACATCAATGTATGGTTGCCTTTCGTGCATCCCCTGCTGGGAAGTGGCCTGCAGGGAACCGGTCTGCAACCCAGGAATATGCCCTGACTAGGAATCGAACCACGATCCTCTGGTTCGCAGGCCTGTGCTCAGTCCACTAAGCTACACCAGCCAGGGCTCAGTTTTTCAAGTTTCTTAATCTGAGCTGCCTGGGAATCAAGATAGCTGTGAAATACTGTGATGACTTTATTTAAATTCTACTAAAACACATTTTTATTTATCAAGAAAATCTTGGCTTGCTAATGTGTGAAATGAGCTAAGTGAAAAGTAGCAAACTCATTCGGCTGAATCATTTTCCAAGTATGAAAGATGATTATTAAAGGTCAACATGAGAAATAATGTTTGGAAAAGGGCCTAAAGACCAATCAGTTGTTCTGCTGAGAATCTAGTGATAGTGATTAGAAGATGGATAAGTTGTCCACGATGATTCATATGCCAGCATTTATAAAGAGTATATTAGAAGTAGAACACTGTAGTAGGCTTATTGATCAAAGCAGCTACCACCACCACCCAACAAGGCCATTGCATTTATAGTCTACATGGGGAGGATGAGGCACAGATAGGTACGTGTAAGCAGTTTAGAAGCGGGTATCTTAGAGAGTAGAAGTTGGGAAGGTAAGTTTATGATTTTATTCTAAACTCCATGGAAGATTTCCTTTTGACATGTGCTCTCTACATATTTCTATCTTCTTTACCATCTGATTGGATAGCTACCATTGGTGATTGATACTAACAATTTCTGCTTGTAGTCTTGAAGATCTAATTTTTTTTTTTTTATCTATGCCATGCTTTCTGTTATTCTTTCTGTTAAATTTGGGGTCCATTTTTCCAGAAGTAGGAAGTCTTCTTTGCAGATCTTTGTTCTAGCAGTGGTATAAGTTTTATTTAGCATTCCATTTACAATAGGAACTGCAGGCACAAAATTTTGGTCATTGTATTGGTATGCTCAGGCTGCCGTAACAGAATACCATAGACTGGGTGGCTTAAACAACAGAAATTTACTTCCTCACAGTTCCAGAGGCTTGAAGTCCAACATCATTTTGCTGGCAGGGTTGGTTTCTGGTAAGACCTCCCTTGTTGGCTTGCAGACACAGCTTCCTTCTTGTTGTGTTCACATGGCCTTTCCTCTATGCGTGCACACTTCTGGTGTCTCTTCCTATCAGGACACTAGTCTTAGTGGATTAGAGTCCCATTCTAATGACATCATTTAACTTTAATTACCTCCTTGAATGCCCTAGCTCCAAATACACATTGTGAGTTAAGACTTTAACATATGAGTTAGGGGGGTGGGCACAATTTAGTCCATAATGGACATATTTGTTATTCATAGCTCTTTCATTCATTCATTCAATCAACCTTTCTTGAATATCTACTGTGAGCCAGACAGTCTGGGTCTGGAGAATAAAAAGCCCTCAAGGAGCCCTGGCAGGTGTGGCTCAGTGAATTGAGCACCCATTTGCAGACCAAAGGGTTGCTGTTTTGATTCCTAGTCTAGGGCACATGCCTGGGTTGCGGTATAATAAATAGATAATTACAAAATAGCATAATCATACCATGATGGTGGTATGAAAACATTTAGATGAAGCATGTAATCCAGACTGGGTAGAGGGAGTCAAAGAGAATTTCCCAGAGGAAATGATTCCAAAATTGAGTCCTGAGAGATAAGGGAAATGACCACCAAGTGCAGTATATCACCTTGGATTGATCTTGGGTTACGTAAACTGTACAGGACATTTTGGAATAATTAGGAGCATTTGAATATAGACTGCATATTAGGTAATAGTGTCAAATGCTAAATATTTTGAGTGTGATTATGGTATTTATGGATATGTAGAAGGTTGTTCTTGCTAAAGTTTTAGGGGTTAAGTTTTGTGATGTTTTAACTTCTAGGTGGTTCAAAGAGAGAGATAAAGTAAATATAGCAAAACAAAGTATCACAACTGGTGAATCTAGATGAAAGGCATATTTGTTCATCGTACTATTCTTTTAAAAAATTTATTGTTATTGTATTATAATTGTCCCAATTTTCCCCCTTTGCCCTCCTCTGCTCAGCCCCCGCTCCACAGTTGATTCCCACACTGTTGTCCGTGTCCATGGTCATTCATACCTGTGCTTTGACTAGTCCCTTCCCTTTTCTACCATTATCCCCCTCCCTGGTCCCTCACTGTACTATTGTATTAACTTTTCTGTTTGAAACTTTCAAGGAAAAAGTTGCAGTGGTGAGAATTAGCCAGACAAAGAACTGGGAAAAGACAATGCAGGAAGGGCCTCACAGGGAGAATAGCAACTGAGATGTGAGGTGGAGAGGAATGAGGCTAGCAGGGTAGTTAGAAACCAGATCACAAAAGACTCACTGCATTAGGGAGTTTGGGGTTTTTTCCTGATAGTGAGAAATACCGAAGAATTTCAAGGAAGAAGGGGTAACAAAGGATGAGATTTATATTTTAGATTGATGACTTAGGCAGTTGGAAAATGGATTTGGTGTAGTGTAGAGGACTCCTTAGGAGACTGATCTGTCAGGACCTAGGTTAGAATAATGGTGGCCCAAACTAAGATGGTGTCAATGAAGAGGCAAGATGTGAACATGTTTGTAAGATATTGGGGGTAGTAGCACCAGTAGGTAGACAGGGAAAAGTTAGAGTAATTCCCATATTTCTGGCTAAAAGTTGGGATTCTTTTGGAAAATGGGGTTCTTTTATAAGATGTCTCATCTATTTTACTCATAAGTTTCAACTTAAATTCTACCTCCTTTCACAATCTTCCTCATATTTCTTCCTGAACTAATTTCTTTATCCTGAGAACAGCAATATGCCTCTCTGCTCATTTAACAACTATTTTTATATTGTACTCTGAATTTTTTCTATCTGTTTATGTTTTTCCTGACCATTTATATTGTAAAGGCTACTCTCTATATATACAGGCATAAACTCCCTTTTTATTACAAAATGATAAAGATATAATTCTGTAACAACAGTATCACACTCAAGCACGCCATATGATATTTTAGGTGAAATATTCACATTTAAACTATAAATTATTATTATTTTTGAAAGATTTTATTTATTTATCTTTAGAGGGGAAGGGAAGGAGAGAGGGAGAGAAATACAATGTATGGTTGCCTCTCATGCATCCCCTGCTGGGGACTGGCCTGCAACCCAGGCATGTGCCCTGAGTGGAAATCGAACTGCAATCTTTTGGTTTGCAGGCCCGTGCTCAATCCACTGAGCTACACCAGCCAGGGCTAAACTATAAATTATTATACCCATATTATTTTAAGTATATTTTATTGATTATGCTATTACAGTTGCTCGTTTTTTTCTCACCTTTATCCCTCTTTGCCCTGCACCCCCCTTCCCACCAGCATTCCCTCCCTTAGTTCATGTCCATAGGTCATACATATAAGTTCTTTGGCTTCTCCATTTTCTTTACTATTCTTAACCTCCTCCTGTCTATTTTGTACATACTGTTTATGCTTCTCATTCTCTGTACCTTTTCCCACATTCTCTCCCTCCCCCTCCCCACTGATAACCCACCATGTATTCTCCATTTCTGTGATTGTTCCTGTTCTACTTGTTTGCTCAGTTTGTTTTTGTTTATTAGGTTCAGTCATTGATAGTTGTGAGTTTGTTGTCATTTTACTGTTCATAGTTTTGATCTTTTTCTTAGATAAGTCACTTTAACGTTTCATATAATAAGGGCTTGGTGATGATGAACTCCTTTAACTTGACCTTAGCTGGGAAGCACTTGATCTGCCCTTCCATTCTAAATGAAAGCTTTGCTGGATAGAAGAATCTTGGATGTAGGTCCTTGCCTTCCATGACTTCAACTAGTTCTTTCTAGCCCCTTCTTGCTTGCAAGGTCTCTTTTAAGAAATCAGCTGATAGTCTTCTGGGCACTCCTTTGTAGGTAACTGTCTCTTTTTCTCTTGCTGGTTTTAAGATTCTTGTCTTATCTTTAATTTTGGGTAATGCAATTATGATGTGTTTTGGTGTGTTCCTCCTTGGGTCCAACTTCTTTGGGACTCTGAGCTTCCTGAACTTCCTGGAAGTCTGTTTCCTTTGCCAGAGTGGGGAAGTTTTCCTTCATTATTTGTTCAAATAAGTTTTTAATTTCTTTCTTCCTCTTCTCCTTCTGGCACCCCTATGGGTCAGATGTTGGAACATTTAAAGTTGTCCTGGAGGTTCCTAAGTCTCTCCTCATTTTTTTGAATTCTCGTTTCTTTATTCTGTTCTGGTTGAATGTTTCTTTCTTCCTTCTAGTCCAAATCGTTGAATTGAGTCCCAGTTTTCTTCCCTTCATTGTTGATTCCCTGTATATTTTTCTTTATTTCACTTTGCATAGCCTTCACTTCTTCCTCTGTTTTGCATCTGTGATCAGTCATTTCTGTGAGCATCCTGATTACCAGTGTTTTGAACTGTGCACCTGATACATTGGCTATCTCCTTGTCACTTACTTCTTTTTCGGGAGTTTTGATCTGCTCTTTCATTTGGGTGGTAT